CGAATACGCGCGCACGGTATATACACGCGGTGGTAGGTAATTAAATAGGCGGGTAATAAACGAAGAGAACTGTGCGCGAATATAAATCCTTAACTTGTAATATTTTCATTTGACGTAAAAAAATAAATATTCTCTTTTCTATTTAATTTTAATTAATAAAACTCTTCAATATATTTTAATATCAAAAAATTATGTATACATATTATTCTTATATCGACGTCATTAAACGATGATCTCGTTGTTTTGCAAAATCAAAAAATCTCGAGAATTTTTAAATTATTGTATCGAAATTATGAAAATTAAACGTTGAATTTTCTCTGTGCATTCAAGATCCGCGACGGAAAAACGTGTACACGCGGGGGAGGGAGGTCGCACGCAGCGCGGCGCAGCATTAATTTCCATTAAGAGGATATCCAATTAGCCGCGGGAATAAGAGCGACCAATCGGCGCGCACGCGGCCGCAATAAACGTAATTATATTTAACGGGAAGGGAGAGACATAAAGGCAACCACGCGCTATTAGATTAGGCCTCTCTCCACCATTCCTGCTGCAACCTCTTTTTTTTTTCTCTCTCGCCAATCGTTTCCTAACCGATTCATTTGCGCGGCGCGATGTAACACGATAGCTCACGATCACCGGACGTGCGCGCGCGGTCCGCGCGTAATTAGAATATCAATTAATAATCCGGATTAATTAAATCCGCGATTACCGATGCATACCGTGACACGGACGCGCTGAGCTTTCGTTATTCATGTGTTTGCGCGCGTACGTGCGCGTGTAGACCAAAGATGGTCGTAGACGAGACGCGGATCAAACTGATTGCGGGGATATATGGTCTCGTGTCACTTTTTCGTCCTTGATGAGTCCAACGACATTCATTTCGCTCGCGTTTATCACATTGTTGCGTTAATTATCTCGCACGACGCGTGTCCGAAATGCGATTGAAACTCGCGCGTAATTTCCTTTCAAAGAAACGTTTTTTTTCTACACCTCGACTATTACGCTCGACACCGCCGCGACGTAGTCCGCATAGACAAGCAACTATTTTTATCAGTCTTTGTCGATGATTTTGAAAATAGCGCACATAAAGTAGCGCAACGTACCGCCAAGGAGCGTGTGTGAGAACTTGTTCCTGGAAATCGAAGCGATCAGCCGCAAACTTCGATATGTATAATATATTCGCGATGTTACAGTTCAAAAGTTGCCTGCGCTAAAAAAGAGAGAGAAATATTCTATTTATAAAGAGAATTCTATTCCCGATATACAAGTCACCGGCTTATATGTCGAGTGAGAACTCGCGTATGACGCAAAAAAAAAAAAAAAAAACGCGCGCAATCAATTATTCGTCGTTATTTAATATTGTTCGTTTTTCGAATAATGTTTTCCACCTATTTATGACTTTCAAGCGCCATTGCGATATTTATATCGCATATGCTAAACTACAGATAACTTGCGTAACATGCGACGATGAGGTCACCATTGTGGTGTCGCTCATCGATCTCTCAGAAAAAATATAATAAACAATCGAATCAATGTTCAAAATGTAAAACAAATTACGACGAGAACAATTGTTTCACTTTAAGGGAAAATCTGTCGAATCGGGGAAGAGATAAAAAACTTTCCACACACATTACAAAATTCGAAACATTTTCAAATATATAGCGAATAATTAAAATCTACACACCGTTTAATCGGTGATTAAAAACCGAGTTTTTTTTAAATCAGGAATATAAAATAAATATTTTAGATCGAGAATATAAAATAAATTTATGACGAGAGCGATTCTTTTCACACTTTCGAGGGAGTCTCTCGCGAATTGGAAAATCAAAAAATTTACACGTCGTAATTAAAAATTTCCAAATGTAGCGAGTTTAATTAAAATCTACACAGTTTAAGTGGCGATTAAACCGAGTTTTTTGTTTTTTGTTTTTTTTGTTTTTTCGAGTGACGGAATTCTCGCGAGAGGAATAAACGCTCGACGCGAACGTGTATCTGTTCGCGATGCGAACCAAAGGCAGCAAAAGTCTGTCGATCCCGCGAGATAACAAGTACGCGCTCACGCGGATATGTAATACGCGGCCGCGTTAACTTGGCGAGCTCTTCGCCTTACCCTAGGCCGCCGGCTAGAACCGGGATAAAGGCCGAGAGGAGCCGAGCGCACGCTTCCCGCTACCTTCCTCAGGCACGTAATTGAAGCTGCTCCCGGAATAACGCGCCTAAGTGACAGGTGAACACCTTATACGCGAACCGCGAACCCGTGACAGCCTTACGTACATACACGATGTGTCCGTCCGACGGTATGGGGTTCGCGTTCTCGCCTCAAAGAGACGAAATATAAAAGCGAGATACAAGGTAGAAGGAATAAATTGTATAATCTCGGCGATGCGGCGCAAAAGATGACGACCAGAAGAAGTAGAAGCAGCCAATCAGTAGGCAAACGCTGTCAAAAAAAAAAAAAAAAATACAAAAAAATTGAAATATACGAGAAGTAAAGAAGCTGTCATTAGAAGCGCGCGCTTTAACTATACGAGACTTCGTTGAAAATAAAGTGACGGGACGTATCTCTCGCAACAGCAATGGAAAATAAATATAATTGCACGATATAACGTCACCCGCGAGTATACAAAGTACCGTAAATACCGCGCGCGACTCATCTCTGAAGAGGAGAGAGAGAGAGTCTCGTCCATTAAGGATGCATTAAATTTCATGCGCCGCGAGAGATTTCCGGGGGAGATCGAAGATAACCCTCGCTCTGTATATGAGTGCGCAGGGTGCGTCCGGGCCATTTCTCCGTCGGGATCGCGTTCTCTGCTTACGCTCTCCCTCCTGACGACGACGGCAAAAATATCCCAATCGCGCGTTACCGTCGCGCATTAAACTCCGCGGGGTAATATATCAGGGAATAAATCGTTGAACGTGTTGGAAGCTTTTATAGGATTTTTACAACGTGCGCGTCCGTGAAATACTGGCGTCGATGGGAGGGCGCGGAGAAAGAGAGACGGTGGTTACCATCGGGAGGGGTGAGGGGCGGTTAAACTGGGTGTAAATCCAGGTGCAGGTTGGCGCGAGGAGAAAGAGGGAGGAAAGAGAAAACGAGGGAGAAAGAGAGGCTGAGAGTGGGTCGTTCCGATGGGGGATGAAGCGTCTGGCTCATCCAGGGGGATGCAGCGCGCGGTAGGGGATGTCCGGGCTTTTCGCGTGCGTGCGGATCCGCCAATCGGGCTTCAGGACCGCCCGCGATCGCCATGGCAACCCCGGGGGTCGACGGGAGGCGATTACGAAACGGGGGTAACTCGATTAAACGCGCGACGCCGCTCCTGTGAGCGATGTGCCGGGGGTGCACGGCTCTCGAGGGTAAGCCTGAAAGTATGGTCTGCCCGAAAGGGGTTGCTCTCTTTCTCTCTCTCTCTCTCTCTCTCTTTTTCTCTTTATTTGTCCTCTTAATCACCCGTTAAGTGTCGCAACCCCGATGTAGTTCCTCCACACACGCAGCCGGCGATTGGCCGGCGGTAAATAACTACTTTGAGACGATTTCGAGGGGTAAGATATATTTAATTTCGGCGTGAAGCCGAAATATTCCAGTTTGGGGTGCTGTTTAAGTTGTTTAGATTGAGCGTAGTGCGAGTCCGATGGAAGGGTTTGCTATAATTGTAAGGTTTGATGTAATTGCGAGGGTAACAGCAATACACAGTTGATACTCTTCAAGGAACTCGGAAGAATCAAATTTTTCAATTAATCGAACTTATTTACTAGAATTTTGCTGAAACAAATTAACGCGCTTCGTCAAATTAAACAATTTATAATTGATGTGAATTGAGTAACTTCTAAAAAAAGAGATTGCTTCAATTTTCTTTTTGAAGACATTGCGAATATTCACAGTGCTGGAAATATTCATACAAACATCATACAATGAAGTAAACTTTACTACTGATACTAATTTTTCATTGCATATAAATGTTTATTCCATTTTTTACAACTTTTTACTTGAATACTCGAGACCGTCAGTCTCGTTTTGATTCGTCGCGGAAAGTCGGTCATGTCGGGGCCTAATCCGGGTCTTGTCAAAACCGCGTTACTATCCGAGACGTTAGACAAACATCCCAACCCCCTGTGTCACACGTGTGTGTCCTCTCATGTCACAATGCTGATTTTCCGCCTAGATAATTTCAAAATGGAGCCCCTTAATTCCAACCCTTTTCTCACGAGCAGCGCGTATATAACCAACAGTCAATTCCGGGACAATGCGCGCTGCCGAGTTCGTCGTCTCCTCCCTTTTCAGCTTCATCCCCCGGTTTTTCTTCCACGCCAGCGACACGTACCATTGTAACCGGATACTCCCGTTTAAGGGTGGCTCCTTGATACATAGCAGGGTTGAGTCGGGGCCAGGCTTATATAACTAGTTGCCACTTAATTTGGCAAGCCCGGCGAGAGCGAGGGGTTCGATTCGTCCCCCTCCTTCCCCAGTGTCTGCCAACGGGGGATTGGCCCACCGAGATCGATTGGCGGGATACGTCGGTATTCGCTGGGGACGACCGGCGCTCGAATTACCTCTCGTTGAATGTCGCGTATCTTTCGCCTCCATCAGGTTGCCTCCAAGAATTACTCTTTTCAACGATCGGAAATCCGTAACACGCGTTCTATCCCCAAATCCGCGAATCAAATCATTATCTCGAAATTCTCTGAAATTTATTTCCTAATATAATCGCGAGGCAAACCCCACAATTTTTCAACACACATTATTTTTCTCTCCTATAGTGTTTCTCTTAATTCTTAGGGGACAAAATTCGATACTTGTTTTCGTTCTCTGTTTCCGCGTCTTTGTAATAATTTTGTTTCGCCAAGATGAAAATATTCTATTTTTTCCGAACAAAATCTGACTCGAGTTTCTTTCTATAAGTGAAAACACAATTATTATTTCCGATACAATCAATACAATCCGAAAAAAAAAACATGCGCAAGATCATTTTAAAGACAATGGAAAAATTTGTTAAATGTTTCAGGTAAAAGTCTGGTTTCAAAACCGACGGACGAAACACAAAAGAATGCAGCAAGAGGAAGAGGCGAAGGCTCAGCAACAATCGGGCGGTGGTGGAGGTGGTGGCGGCGGAAATGGCGCTAGCAACAACAACAGTAGCAACAAGAACACCCATCACGTCAGCAAATGGCAACAGGAGACCGGAGACTATCATCACGAAGAGGACGAGGAGGACGAGCACATCGACCCCGAAGCCGAAGAATGTTCGAGTGGCTCTGAGGCGTAGCTAGACGTTCTCTGCCTGGATTAAGAACCAGGAGCAAGGAAATTACACTGAACAGAAGAGAATATTCGAGTTTCGGGTCGATCGCCCGAGACGCAATGGTCGTCTCTTCTGAAATGATGGTGTTCGTCGAGGAGCTCACCTCGAAGCCCGCCGTTCACGATTGTGTTAATTCGCGGCAGAAAGTTAGTGAGTGAATTCCTCCAAATCCACACACAAAGTAGTTCCTCTCAACATCTTCTCTTTTTCCGCGACGAGGAGGACACTTCGCGAGGAATCGTGGAGATTCGCGAATATCTTTCGTCGCGATTAGGAGACGAAGAAGACGTTTTCTCAGTCGGACGTTAACGGGTTTCGGAAAAAGCAATGGGAAAAATCGAAGGCAAGGGCTTCCATCGGAAACCCGGTTAATGGAAGCATTGTCCGTGGAACAAGCCGGAGCTAAATGGACGCGTTTCCGGCGGAAAGTGGCGACGTTCGGCGAATCGTATCGAGAACGATCAACCTTTAACTTACCGCGGAGTTTTTTTTGTTGCACACGCTCGGTCGAAACTTTAGACGCTCTTGTGTGTGACTTGTAAGTTTCGCGAGTGAAATCAAAGTCATCATCTTCTTTATGTGTTTTAATTTGTTTTTACTTCACATTCTATGTACGTGTTGTTCCCCGCACGGTTTTCAATCCCAATCGATTCGTTTGCCGCGGAACGTGAGACTTGCGACACGTTCCGCAGCAAGCGAATTAGTCGGGACGGACCGTGCGTAATTATATATATGTGTGATTCAAGATATTTATATTATTTAATTTAATGTTTTTTTTTCGTGACACACAAGATGATCGTTAAAAAAACGTTCAGAAATATTGTAGATAAATGATGTGTATAAAACCTGTTTTTCAGTAAAGAAAAAAAACAAGTCTCGATCGTTCGCGATTTGTTTGAATGGTGCGCTGATTTTAAATCGTGGATATCGTTTACACTTATCTTGCCATAAACAAAAATAAATAAATTAATTAAAAAAAAAAAAAAAAAAAAAAAAAAAGAAATCGCCATAAGAACTAATTTTCGTCGAATGGTGTAAATAGAAAAGAGATGTTTCAGCAACTACGGATCGAAGAAAAGTCTCGCGCGCGTAAACTCTCTCGGAAATATAATCCCGGACCTTTCTCACGAGAACTTTGAGAAAGGGCGAGTGTAAATAAAATAAAAACGAAACAAAGAGAATTAATATGCGAACGCAAACACACGCGATAAAAGTGAGTGCCAAACTTCCGTAATAAACTAATAGCGAGAGATCCCAGCGAATAACAAATTGTATTTGCAATTGTATTTAAGTCGTTGCTCCGTACACGTCGAGCAAACAGTATTCCTCTCGTCGATCGATGTTCCGAGAAATGTACTGACACAATTTAAATTATTATTATTATTAATTATTAATTATTATTATTATTATTATTAATTATTATTATTATTGCTAATGTTAGGCCAGGGATCCCGTGCGTCATAACAGAGAAAGAAAGAAAATATATGTATAGCAATTATAAAAAAAAGTACGCAGGAAATTTTACTTATATTTTAGTATGTGTTACACTTTGTAGATTGTAATATTAATATATCGGACATATAAATTGTCACGACATATCAATATTAACATTAATACTAATATTATCGTACGCTAATAACATTATCGATAATATTTAATAATATTAATAATATTATTGATAATTTTATTGATGTTATTGATACATATATATGTACATTATTGTTATACATATATATATGTATATATATATATGTATATATATGTATAACAATAATATTATTGATACCATTAATAGTATTGTCAATGATATTATATATTATCTTGTTGTGGCAAAAAAGAGTCTATCGTTAAGTCGATAAGTTCTATTATCGATTTGATAGAAAAAAATTTTTCTTTTCTTTTCAAGCTTTATAGATCATTCAGATTGCACATAAAAAGATTGTATACATTCTTACATACATTAGCTCGAGAGGAAAAGAGAAAGAGAGAGAGAGAGTTTGCCCTGTTATGGCGCAGGGTTCTTTCGCTTGTAAATAATAATCCTGTAAATAGCAAAATGTGATTTTAATCGACGTGCAGAGCCATAGAATTGTATGATCATCGAATGACTCAATTCGTGTTCTGTCTAGCGATATAGTGAAAATAAATTAAAAAAACAATCTACAAAATTGTATTCCCGTATTTTGTTTTTGTTTATCCTCTGTGTAATATAGAATTCCTACAAAGCATAATTTTTTTCTTGTTATACGATTTGACGCAAGTAAATACAGCTAGATAAAAATCGGGTTGAAACAAAAAGAAGTGATAGTTTTTTTTTGTGACAGACAAGTTTTTGCATAATGCTTGCCGATAATTTCAGCGTTCGACCAACGTTCAGATGGTAAATTCGATAACGCAGGACTCGGCCACGTAATTTGACGCCGATAACACGGGCGCGGAAATTGTTTGTTTTCCGCGCGCGGTAATTTCTCGCGCAGCGTCTCATTATTTTAAGAGGCAATCCCGCGCGAAAAATTGAATAATTTTCGATGCCGCCGTCGGGCACCTATACATATATGTATATATATATATATTCGATAAGAAGAAGGGGTGGTATCGACAAACCAACTTTGCGCGCCGCGCGGTAATTCTTAAGCACACGACATTATCGCAATGACCGAGCCGTAATTACCGGGGTGCGCGCAAAAGGGGGTGTCTTCGCAAATTGTTTTTCGCGAGAAGACGCCGTCGGTTGGACGACGACGCGCAAAAAAATCGCACGATGTACGCGACGTACACACGCAGCGCGCCACGTCGACGGGAGCGATCCTTGTCGATAATCGCTTTATAATCGCCCCGCTTCCAAAAAGGAATAATTTACCACGTCGGACGTGAGTTACTCTCTCTTTCTCCCTTTCCTTCCCTCTCACTTCTCAGTTTCCCCCGTAATTAAACGTACCGGATCTCTCCTTTCGTGCCCGGAACAACGGATATGCGGCCGATGTCGGTAGATCGCATTCGGAGATTTGCTATCGCCGGCCCTCATTATTTTCGCGTCGGAACATTAACTCCCGAAAAATTTCACGGACGCCAGAAATAGAATCGCTCTCTCAACCATTTTCCATTTTAATATAATTGTTTTTTTTTTTTTTTAATAATTCGACGATATATTTTCTTCTCTTGTAATTAATACGAAAACACATTGAAGTCTTTAGTAATTTAATTTACGAGAGAATGTTGCGAAGTTTTATATCAAGAGTTGGCTATGAGAGATTTTCTCGTTTCTTTTGCATTCCAATAAATTTATATTCCACGACGCCGACACGTTGTAAAGCAGGATCCGTAATTTACTCGGTGAAAATTAATAACACGGCGGTATAACGCAACTTGTAGACGATTATCGACGTATTAATCAGTTCATGCTAATGAATTTGTAAATTGAAAGCATACGTAATTATACGTGGTTTGCAACTCCGCGGAATAAATATGATTGCAACGCAAAGGAGAGGAAAAAATCACTCGCAAACCTTATGAACAAATAAAATTGTAATGCGACGCAAAATTTTGTGATTTTCAAGTGAATTTAGAAACACATTTTTAGAAATTTGTGTCTCGTTAACCTTGTAGACAGTTCTGTGAAAGAATCGTTGCTATTGAGAGAGATAATCGAGTTTCTCGTCCATACAACTATCTTTTATTACAAAATGTCAAATGTCACTTGGAGAAATCCTGCTGCTACATAAACATGTCAATTATTTAATAAATACATGACGTAAATGCAAATAAATATAAGTGCAATTGCACACATACGCGCACAAAACATCTCGCTCCGCAATGATGTTTCAATATTAAACGTTAATGAAGCTCGAACGAAACGTTACCATGTTAATTTATTCTCGACATGTTCATTTCTGATTTTTTATTTTGGAAAATTGAATATTCCCGCGGTTATTAATTGTCTCATTGTATATTCGATACCGGACTCGTTTCTCGAGCGGGAAATAAGAGCCAAGATCACTCGGCTCATTTTTCGATCGATCAATTAAACGACCAAATTAATCAGCAGTCGTCGAGATACGCGAAATCAAACGCGGGGTGCTAATGAAGCGAATTAATTGGAACCGGCATCTCGGTTAATCAAACTTATTAAACACGACTCGCAGCCGGGCAGCAGCGTCGCGCGGTTTTCCGTCGTCAAAACGCCGTTCTCGATCGATGGACGATCGAGAATTAATAGACCTCCATTGTTCGCGCAAATCTCTCTTCTTATTCTCGCGTCGTCGTCGTCGTCGTTTCTCCGGATGATTCAGCTTCATTATCACGGTTGTCAAGCGCCGTAATTGTCCATCCGTTAATTGGTACGGGACAATGCCGGATATACCGGTTACACGCTTTTCTCGCTTTGGAGAAAACTATTCTTGTTTTTTTTTTGCCGATCGTGCTCGTTAAACGCGAATTTACGACGCGTATATCGATCGCGACCGTAAGTGTCGCTCCGACGATATTACACGCGTTTTAAAACGTCCGACGGGCGGGGCACTTTGGCGGGAACGCGCGTTTTAACGATAAGCGACACGAGGCCCCCGTAATAATCAGCGCGCACCGGAAACTTGATCGCGCGCGGGTACGGATTATGTTAGATTGATAATAAAAACTGACTCTCTCCGCTATAATACATATACGTATATTCGCGCCGAGATATGTTTGCGCGCGGCGAAACACAGCGCGCGCAAACACATCCCGAACGTGTCCGGGACGATCTTAATTGTGGCCGAATGTTGTCGCGCGATAATGGCGCGCTTAAAAAATTACTATCGGCCAACGCCGGTCGAGCGCGCTCTATCGCGATTGGCGCGAGTTTCTTCTCTCCTTCTCATTCTCAATGTAGACGCAGGCCTTATCGTATTTCGCGTGCCGGTAAATGAGTTAAAATAATACGTTTCATTAAGTCTCGCGGGATTAGTTTCACTGTTACGAGCGCGCGGTATACCGCGCGCTCCGTCCAGATAAGCCGTCCGGATTACATGGGGGGCAAGTGCACGCGCGTATATGCAACACGGGAGGATATGCCGCATTCTTGTTGCGAGAGAGTTGAGTTGTTCGCATGCACAAATTGTTGTTTACCGCGTGGTCACGCGTCAATTTAGCGCCGTCGCGCGAGTTTCCGAGTATATACCCTCGAATATATAAATGCGTCGCGCGCACATGCGATATCGAGTTACACCGGCACGAGAGTTACGACTTAAAAATGAAGGTACATGAGAGATTAAAAAAATAGAACGCGTAAGATCTCAGATGATTACGCGAATTCCTCTTTCCTGTTCAACCTTTCGTTTTCAACAGACTCTTGTTTGTGTGTTTCGTTAATTTCTGTTCTAATTAAAATCTATAACGCGTGATCCTGGTCACGCGTTCGGTTTCAGCTTTGGGAGAAGATAATCTTGAAAATCTACAACGCGAGTCCCACGGTCGCGAAAGGTCCGGAACGGATTTAAAAGCGTGTCTACGAGAGAGACCGCAATTGATCCCTCGTTTGCCTCACTGATGGGGTAACGCCTACGCCATTGCGCGAGGGGGTAAAACAGAGACGTGTCGGTTTGTTGGGTGAAGAGCGCGCCAACGTAAGGCCCGCGGCGAGCGAAGAGAGGGAGGCCAACGAGGAGGGAGAGGGTTGCGGATGGAGAGGCAGACAGCAGCGGCGGAGGCGGAGGTGGCGGGAGCGAGGATGGGGGCCTCTTGAGATCGGAAGGGGTGGGGGAAACGTCCGAGAGGGCTCAGAACTGCTAATTATGTAAATTGCCGGTGTTGCAAATTACCCTCACAGTTTGCGTTCATTCTGCACACAATCCACACGGTCTCCGCACACCTCGCACGGAATCCATCCACTTGGATACTGTTACTTCCTCCGAGGGGAAGAGAGACAGACGAAGAGAAGGAGGAAAAAGGAGAAGGAGAAGGAGAAGAGAGAGAAGATGGCGGCGGATAGAGCGAGATGGATGATCTCCCCGGGGACGGAGTGAGAGACGATCTCTCTCGTTTGCTGCCTCCTTCTTCTTACCTCTCATTCATCATCACCGGTACTCGACGATGCGCGGATACCAGTATCCGCTAACAGATACCGATGTCGGACAGCTCGCAGCGAGCGATCCTGAACGTTTTCATCTCGGGTGTCGCATTAGTTTGTTATCACAAACTGGAACTGACCGAGACGTCATTCAGAGAAGGAAGTGGAATGTGCTAAATATATATATATATATATTTTTTTTTTTTTTTTTTAACAACGAAATAAAAGTAGAATTTCCGAGATCTTGGTCTATGATTTTTTTTTTTTTCGATATATTAATTTTAATCGAAAATTTGTTTTGATCTCTGGGAGTCGTCAGATGCAAGAATAAAAAAAACTATTTTTTCGCGCGACGCTCGAAACTTACTGACTGTCGACTGACGTGTTTGATTGCGCCTTTCAATTCCGTTCCGTGTAAATTCAGCGAAATGAAGTTCCATTTGCAAAGTCCCTTACAAAGGGACACGATGAGGGTGCACGGACAGCGCGAAAGATATACTTTTGGCACTTACAACATCGCTTTGCGTTCCCCCGGGCTGCAATTTGTCTTGTCACTCCGTAAACGGCGGATAACGAGAC